AAAACTGTCTTAAAATGTGATGACTCTTCATCAGCTAAATCCAGACTTAGATTCTTTTGTCCTCCGTCCACTCAAACTGAACTGAAATGTTCTGAACTTGACTCAAACTAGCCTGCAGCTGTTGCCTGGATTGCAGGACAGGATCTGCTGAAAAAATACTGGATTAATTGGAATTAACAGGAGATAATTTTGCACCTTTTGTCCCGTTTGTTTATCTTTCTTTCGTCAGAGTTAACAGCTTATCTAAACTGTTGCTGATTTAAAACGTCTGTCTCTAAACTCGTCTAAATCCTGATTCTAACATCTGCTGACGTTCAAGTTTGTTGTATTCTGCCGTTTTTCTGTTGATGTTATAATGGAAAGAAGGGAAAGATCGTGACAGAAAGGGACAAAAAAAACACACTTCAGTACACACACACTCGCACACATGGACTGCAAGTGTGTACCAGTGAGGGACATGCTGGAAAAAGCCGAGTCAGACAGGTGCAAACCATTAACCACTGTACGGAAAGTCAAATAGCGAGTCTGTGTTTGTTAACGCGTGTTTGAGAGAGAGGAGAGGGTGAGAGAGCGACAAGAACGGGACGGCGTTTCGACTCTCCGGTTTAGCGAACTCCACCCTGCAGAATTTTTAGGTGCAGCTTCTCCCCCTAAATTCTCCAAATCTTTTCCATCTCTGCGGATGATTTCATAAAACCATCTGTCATAAATCTCCAAAATCAAACCCATTCGTAAAAATACTTCTTCTTCTACAAGCGTCTTATGATTGCATCTTTTCCCTCGGTGGTAAACGATGGTCGGAGTCGTTAGGCCCGACATATCTCTGATTGCGTCATGTTCGTGTAGCAGGAGTCGGACTGAACTTTTAGGGCATATAAATCAAAAATAGACGTATAAAAAAAGTGTTTCCAGATAATGGACGTCTGATTGGAATAATGTGGTGTGGGAAAACTGAAGAGAGCTGATGACAGAGATCCTATCTGCTGGGAAAAACGGCCCACTGCTTTTCTTTTCCCAACGTTTCAGCCTGTCTCTTTCGGAATCGTACTTCAAGTCTAGGCAAAAACAAAAAAACAGAAGACATGAAGATGTCACCTCTCTCTTTAGCTTCCTCCTGCTTTATTTTGTCTTTTAAAGTCTCTCGAGATCCGTCTTCTTCCCCCTCAGAGCTCCAATCAAACAAAAGCTCCTCAGACAAGTTTCCTGGAGAGCGAACAAAACTCTGCTACATCTGATCCTGAAAATCGCCAACAGATGTGTCTGATTCATGTCGTAATGTTTCCAAGTCATCGGAGCTCATGGATGATTTCACTCTAACGACTGATAAAGGAGAGTTGAACTCCAGGAACTTCATTTTTCATCAGCGAGAATCGCAGAGCTTTTCGTATTACACGGATTAGTAATAATCTCCACAGACCTGAAGAGCTTCTGTGAGGAAAAGCCGACGACAGGCTGGATTAAATAATGATGTCAAGTTGTTCAAAAGACAGAAAAAGGCTAAATTTGGGACTCCAATGATGGATCACCAAACTCTGGCATCAAGCTAACTTAGCGGGGGCGAGGGTTTTCGATAAAATATCAGCTAAGATGATTGCAATTTTGCCATTTATGGGCAACTCACAACTCTTAAGAAAGCCACAAAAAAAAGAAATTAGGAGAAAGAAATAAATAAACATTGCTTCGGAGCCCCGTCTTGCCGGTGCAGTACACGAGAGAGTGACACAGCCGCAAGTTCGTCCATTGAACGAGCCCCTCGTCACGGCGTCGTTCACTGGGTGACACAAGGAAGAATCACTCCCCTGCCCTGAAAAACTCACCTCTCTGTGTCGTCATCGGCAGAAACAACACAGCAGCGAGCTGTAGCTGGTATTGCTTTAAATCGGCTGAAATTAAATCCTTCTTGCACGTGGACGAACCGGTGCTCTGCAGTTCGTGAACGATGCCTGAATAAAGTCATTTGGAAGTCGTTCATTTCGTTCGCAGACTGACTGTTGCATGTCGTTCATTCGCTGTGAGCAAATCGTGAGAATACGCCCGTTAGCTGGCTCGGCTCGCCAAGCGATCGACTGAGTTCAGCTGAATTGAGAAAGGAACGGATCAGGTCTTAGAGTGATTCCGTTCACGTCGTTCACTCAGCAGAAACGTTCCTGAACGACACAACGCTACAGCAGAAAACCAAAACAGTTCCCAGACTAAGACTAGGATTACGAATTCTCAAATGTATAAGGGTCCATAGCAAACAGAAGAGGACCCAGCTTTGACCCTTGGGGGACGCCACCAAACCGATGAGGAGACCAGGAGACCAAGGTGATCAAAAGCCTCTGAGAAGACCAAGAAAGTTCCATCAAGAAACTGAGATAATTTTCCAGAGAAACAATGATTGTTAAGATTTAACCTGTTTTTAAAGAGCAAAAGTGGAGCATAACAAAACAAACAGAAGAGGACCCGGTATCGAGCCTTGGGGGACGCCAACATACAGATTATCAACGAAGACGATCTAAGTCATTATAAGCATTTAAAAAGCTCAATACAGAGTGATTAAGTCTGTTTAGATGACTGTTTAGATGTGTCTTTTCATGAAATCACAGTGGAGCATAAATAAAGCAAACAGAGGAGGACCGAGCCCTGAACCTTGGGGAACACCACTGAACAGATTTCTAAATTAGACCAAAGTAACTTAGGGGTATCTGAAAAATAGAAAGAATTAATGAATGTTATGTGGTTATCTTTTTCTAGGACACAAAGGTGAAAAATTCACAAAGCAAACAGAAGAGGACCCAGATTTGAACCTTGGGGGACGCCACCGAACGAATTTGCAGATGAGGAGACCAAAGGGATCAGAAGCCTCTGAGAAGACCAAGAGACCCTGATAATTTACCAGAGAAACAATGGTTGTGTAGCTATAACCTGTTTCTAAAGAGCAAAGAAGAAGAGGACCCAGCATAGACCCCTGGGAGGCGCCACCTAACAGATTTTCATATCAGGAGACCATCGTTAATAAAGGTATCTTAAAGGAACAAAAAGTTTTACATTGCTAATAATGAAAGTTTAGACGGAACCTCTGAACAGAGCAATAATTTAACAAACTATAGAGGACCCAGTATTGAACCTTGGGGAACACCACCCTGAGACTAGCTTGTGTTTACAGGTAACCGAATAGTCTCTCCATCCAGGTGCCTGATTCCCACACAGCAGTGCGACTTCATCTTTGAGAGAGACAGAAAAAAAGGAAGGAAAGAGGATGAAGGGATGTAAACGGAAGGAAAAAGAGAGAGAACATAAGTGAAGCCACTTGATTACACACACATACTCACACACACAAAGTCGTCTTTTATCTTGTGCAACAGGCAGTGTGAGGAAATGAGACGAGTGGTTTTTGTCTGAGAGGGCAAAGCAGAAAAAGGGATTTGTCTCCGAATGCAGCTGTGGCAACAAGCTCCACGTGTGTGTGTCTGTGTGTGCGTGTGTGTGTGTGTGTGTGTGCGTGCGGTTAAATGAGATATTGAAACAGAGACATCCGTGCGTCTGTTCTCCACTGATGAGAGCTGAAAATAGGATTTGTCGTTGAGACAGAAGAGGACGGCTGTAAGCCAGTTAAGACGACTGAAGAGCCCATTTCACACCGAGGGAATGGAAGTCGGTGTGAGACGATTGTTGGAGGGTTTTGCTTTGACACTTACGGGGATTAAAAGGTACAGATTTTAACACGGTTAATTCTCTAACGCTGCCAGAAAGGTTTTTTTTTAAAACCCTTCAGAGTGGGTGGAAACCATGAGTACTTAGGCGGAGAGGGCGGCAGAGCTCGAACGTTTTGATTTGATGGTCAAACTTTACAAGACTTACGGGACTTTTATTGAGTTACTTTTTACTATCGGAGAATTTCAGTCGTGGCCAAAGGAGGATTCAGACAATTTTTCCGAACTTTCTGGTTGGTTTCTACTGTCCGATATTGTAGCACGCTAACTTTGTTTGGGAGCAGCATCTGCCTCACAACCAATCAGGTTAGAGGAGGTGGAGAACGGCTTTGTTTACGGTCAGAAAGAGCGGACTGCTCAAAATGTTCAAATGTTGATGACACAGACATAAGAGAACACAGAGATATCGTTATATTACCAAATGTCATCAATAACTAATAACTATTGACTGATATTAAAAGCTGTTTTGTAAATACACCATAAAAAAAGATGCTTCTTTAACAGATTCCTCACCTTTAAATCCTTGTGTGCTGAATCTCGTTTTCCCTCCTTTTTTTGAAATTGCTCGTTAGTGTCACCTGTGTCTCGTCTCTCACACCTGTTGCTCGTTTTCTCTTTCTCTCCCTCCAGGTCGGTTCATCGTCTTCGTCCGACTTCCTCTCCAGTGGTCCACAGTTCTCCCAGAGTCGTCCTAAGTTTCATGTTTGGATTTCTCTTGAACGTTTTGGTGAGTTTTTTGCTTTTCGTTTATCAAAATTTTCGTCTCCTTTTCTTTTTATTTGAACGGTCAGTATGGAGAGCAAAAGCAGGCTGAATACAATCTACAGTAACAGTATCCTGACTTTAATGAGTGGATCAAAAACAGTCTAAAAGTGATGAAAAAGACCTGACAAAACTCGACTTTTTACTTTTACAAATCGGCATCATATCTCAGTTTTTTTGGCAAACCTTAGACTTGATTATTTCAGAAAAATCTGATTTATTTCAGGTTAATTCTCTTGAATTAAGCCAAATTGAAGCCTCTGTTTAACTTTTTACAGTGAAGCTGAGACCTGCAAGGAACAGATGAAAACAAATGTTTGTTTGCGTTAATTTTTCTTGCTTTTTGGTTTTTAAACGAGCGTCAGAAAGAAGTAATTTATCGCTAAACTGTAAATATTTGTGTCCAGGAGTTAAATGAACCCCCTTTAACTCAACCTGAACTTTTTATTCTTGAACTTCATTGGTTTAAAAAAAGAACAAACCCCCCAAAAATGAGAGGATGATTTAATGACGGAGAACGAGTAATAAACGAACGTAATAATGATGAAAGTAAAAGAAGAGAAAATGTGAAGGATGAGTCCATAAAGTGATTAAAAGACAGAAACACCGAAATTAAACGTCTGACCTTAAATTTATATTGAAAAATCCAGGATTAAGAGAAGTGTGTGTGTGTGTGTGTGTGTGTGTGTGTGTGTGTGTGTGTGTGTGTGTGTGAAGGCGGTGTTAAAAGGATTGGAGGAGATCTCATTATTACAGTGGAAGGCTTTAATCAGAGTTGGAGATGGTGTTTTTACACTTGGTTAGCTCTCCGGCTCTCATCTTACAAATTAGACGTTCGCTAAAAGACACCGACGCTCCTAATGCGCTCGTCTTCACCTTCGTCCGCTCATCCTCCACTCCTCTCACTCCTCTCACTTTCATCCCTTTATTTCATCTAGTCTGTGTTTTACTTTGTGTACTTTATTAGTTGTTTTCAGTTCAGTTTTTCTTTCTTTCTTTTTATGATTTTTTTCTTTTATCCTTTTTTATTTTGTTTTTTTCTTTTTCCTTTCTTTTTTATAGTTTGTCTTAATTTGAAAGAAAAGCAGGAAAGAGGGCAAAGGGAGGAATGAAGTAAAGGGTCACAGCTGAGAATCAAACCACCAACCTCTGCAACAAGGACTGTAGAGGGCGCTCACACTTCTGTCTTCTGTCCATTTTCTTTCTTTTCTTTCTTTCTTTCTTTCTTTCTTTCTTTCTTTCCTGTCTCTTCCTCATCCACCTTTCTTTTCTTTTGCTTTTCTTTTTTCTCATTTCTTCTCTTTCTTAGTCTTTTTAATTGAAATTTTCATTTTTCTGAATTTTTTTCTTTTTTCTGTCCTTCCTTCCTTCCTTCCTTCATTCTTTCTTAGTCTTTTTAACTTCTTTCTTATTTTCCTTTCTTTCATTTTCTCTGTTCTTTCTCCTTCATTTTACACTTTTGTTCTCATGAATTTTCTTTTTCCTTTCTTTCTGTCCTTCATTTCCTTCTTCATTCTTTCCTATTATTTTCTTATTGTCTTTTAACTTCTTTTTTCTTTTTCTTTCTGTTTCCTTTTTCCTCTTCCTTATTTCTAATTTTTTTTGTCTTGTCGTTTTTCTTTTTCTTTCTTCTCTGTTTTTTCTTCTTTTCTTCTTTAACATTTCCCCTGTTATTGTCCCTGTTTTTGATATATATATAAACTGAATTTCTATTTAATTCTTTTTTTAAAGTTTTTTTTTATTTTTTTATTTTCCAATCACTCTCCAGTCACTCTCTACAATTACTGGGTCGTTTTGTTGAATTGTATGTTGAATTTTTTTAACATACTTTCTATTCATTCTTATTCTTATTATTAATAATCAATCATTATCAATCTCTTTTTTTATTCCATTTTTTTCTCTTTTTCTTTGTTTGAATCCCTCACAGTTTTTCCTTTAAACAGGAAGTTGATGGACAAATCTGCTCATGACTTTATTTTTTATTTCAGTTTTTTGGTAAATTTGCTGGATTCTTCCTTGGCAATAAAAAGTAAATACTAAAAAATATGAATTTATATTTTTGCTCTTTTTTTGATAAATTTCTTTTTCACTTTAGTTACGGAAACACGCTTTTTTCCGTTATAGTTTAAATTCTGATGAAGGCTTGGCGTGTTTGTCTCTCCGTCTCGCTCTGTCACTCCTCTGCTGTCAGCTGTGTGTGTGTGTGTGTGTGTGTGTGTGTGTGTGTGTAAAGCTGGCCTGCACATGATGGCACAGGTGTGTGTGTCATTTTCCATCAGGATGTTTCTGGATTGAAGCTGTGTGCCGTAAACGGTGTGAGTGTGGAGTGAGTGTTTTTTTGTTCCCTCTTCTGTCCTGATTCACGTCCTTTAAAAACACAAACTTTTCAACCTTTTTTTATTTTTTATTCATTCTCATTTCTATCCTCTCTTCTATCCTTCTTTACCTCCATTACTCTACCTTTCTCTCTTTTTATTTGAGTCAGAAGGTGCGACCGACCAACCAACCAACCAACCAACCAACCGGTGTTTCAAGTGAAGGAATTCCCCTGATCTTTCCTTCCGTTCCTCCCTCCGTCCATGTCTAATCATTTACACACACACACACACACACACACACACACACACACACACACACACACACACACACTCTTTCCAGGACTGGTTAGATTGGATGAGTGGAGGAAAATCCGTCAGAGTGAGTGAGGAGGTGGAATATATGAGCCGTGGCGGCTCTTTAAAGACGAAAACTTTCCCTCCAGTTTGAAATTGTCCGTTTGTCTGTTTGACATCCATCATCCGTCTCATCTGGACGCACCTCTAACTTTGCCCCGTGGCGTTTAAACTTTTCAAAACCATTGAAAATGTTTTGGTAGTGAAAGAACTTGATTTCTATGTCGTGAATAAATAAGTCTGAAATTTTCTCTACTGACCAGTCCAAAGAAAACAATGGAGTTAAATCAAACTGATCAGACTTATAACAAAAAATCTGGATGGTATTTCTGAGCCAAAACAAACACAAAGTGTTCAAAGAATGTACTTCCTCAAGTGGCCACTAGAGGCTCGCTCCAAAAGCGAGTCAACCACCATAAGGTCCCTTTTTAAATGACGTTAAAACAGAAGTAAACACTTTTTTCTTTTTACTTTCCCTTCGCCGAGTTGAGATTACTAAAATAAGGGTTAAGATTATGTGAAATTATGGGCGTGGTCAATTCAAGGGGTGGGCGTGACTTGCTAATCTGCAGAGTTTTAAAAATTTTTAAAAAATTTTAAAAATGTAGGGTTTGAATGGATTAAATAAAAGCAGCAGTTTTTCAAGTGGCCACTAGGGGCTTGGTCTGAAAGATAGTTAACCTCCATTAAACTCAATATTAAACATTTTTACAACCCAGTACAGTAAATTTTTTAAATCCTTGACATAAACACATGGTGTAAACTTTTATTTAACTCTTGTATTTCTTAAAAATTTTGTTTTATTCCAGTTTTTTTTAATTTAACTTTATAAATAAACTGAATTTAATTGATAGCTTTTACCCTCCACTGGCTCCGTCACAGCTTCGGCAAACCCCTTATTTATAGTCGCCAAAAATAAAAATAAATAAGAAACAAATCAAGATTAAAATTTCCAAAAAGTTAAATTCAACATTCTAAACAGGCTGTTTTTATGTTTATTATTATTATTGCAAACAATTACCGGAAATGTAATAAATATTCTAGAGAAAATTAGAGGCTCTTGCATAATCCGATTAATCCATCTTCATGAACTTTTCAGTGTTTAACTTTCAAACTAGGGTTTGAAAGGATTAAATAAGAGCAGCAGTTCTTCAAGTGGCCACTAGGGGCTTGGCCGAAAGAGAGTTAACCTCCATTAAATTCAATAATAATCATTTTTACAACCCGGTATAGTAATTTTTTTCATCTTTTATTAATCAGTTACATTTGTATATGGCATAAACTTTTATTTAAGTCTGTTATTTCTTTAGTTTTGTTTTTATTTATTCAACTTTATTAATAAAGTGACTTTAGTCGATGGCTTTTACCCTCTACTTTACCCCTAATTTATGGTCGCCAAAAATAAAAATAAAATAAAGTCCAAAAAGTTAAATTCAACATTTTATACTGGCTGTTCAAAACCAAAGACATGATCCTGTTTTTTATGTTTATTATTATTTTTGCAAACAAAAAGTGGATTAACTGCAATAAAATAAATATTCAAGAGGAAATCAGAATCTTTGGCGGTTTATCGACAGAAACGTTAGAGAACTTAACCGCTAACGACAGCCGAGCGCAGAATCCGATTAGACTCAGAATTTAAATGAACTTTTCCGTGTTTAGCTTGGTTCAGCACGGTGTCACTTTCGCTTCTGCGTCGGTTATTAAAGATGCAAAGTGTGTGTTCGTCTCTGCTTTTTTTACCAGGCATCTTAATGACGCCGCTGCTGAATCGGCAAAAAACAGTGAAGAGAGGGTGAGAGATGGAGAAGAGGACGCGTGATGGAGAGAATAGAGGGACGATTTAAGAGAAAAACACGTGAAGATTAAAATAAAAAAGAGAGAAACGAACAAAGAGACTGAAAAATGACGAGAAAGAGAGAGAGAGAGAGGTTAGAGTCTACGGTTAAATTTATTTTGGTTTTTGCTGCAAAATCGCACCTTTCATGCCCGTGTGAGTGTGTGTTTTTTTCATATGCCTCATGTCTGCGTGTGTGTGAGTGTGTGTGTGTGTGTGTGTGTGTAAACAATAGAGTTGATTAGGCGTTGCGTGGCGGTGACAGCGCTGAGCGGAGATGATTAATGATTCTCTGTTTAATGTGATTAGTCCATTAATACCTCCTGTGATGGCTCCGACCGGCTAACACTGGGGAAAGGTCAGCACTCATTCACACACACACACACACTCACACACTCACGCACTCGTGCACGTACGCTAAAACGCGTGCACGCACTCACACACGCAGGGGTGTAATGCATCATTAAGGAGGTCAGAGAAAAGAGTGCGGCTGTAGTTTCCAGTTAAAGAGTTTAAGAGATTTTGTCGCACACCTTTAAACATGACGGTGAAAATCACGGATTTAGACTCTGAGTCTGTTTACGGCTGAAATGAGGAAATATAACCACTGTTAATCAATAAAAAAATATTGATTATTGGTTTCTGAAAACGATCAGCGTGGGAAGATAAGTGACGTGTTTTTTTGACCTGACCTAAACGATCTGAGAAGCAGTTGGAAAAACCGATCGTCCCACCCCCCTCACGCACAAACCTCTCCCCTCTGTGCTCCACCATAACTCCCCCCCAAACCTGAATCGCCCTCGCCACGACACACCCCCTCTGGCAGAGCGAGTAGTCAGCCGGCAGAAGATCCTACGCTAGCTTCAACATGTCGGATTGTTAGTGACTAGCGGCGGTGTTGTTGTGTCGTTCGTGAATGTTTTGTCGGAATCACTCCAAGACCTGATTCGTTCCTTTCTCAGTTCAGTTGAGTTCAGCCGCGAGCAGTAGGGCGGAGTCTCGTGATTCACTCTGTCTGTGAACGACATGGTGAACGAAACGAACGACTCCCGAATGACTTTATTCAGGCAGAGGAGGGAGGGGTGTATCGTCGATCACGAACTGCCGAGCAGCGGTTCGTTCCCTGAGGCGAAGATAAAACATCGAGGTTCATAATGATTACCAATCTCTCTAATCGTCAACCATGACTTTAATCAAGGGTATTTTCACACCTGAAAGTCCGAACCAAGGTCCGTGTTTTTGTTTGTTTAGGTTTCACACTCTCATTAACGGACTTTACCTGACGAACCTACATGATATCGTCATCAACTTTGTGATTTGCGTGTCTCTGTAGTTTACGTTGATTGGTCATTCGGTCGGCGGGCGTCCGACGTCAACACGTTGAAAGCGCGAGTCTTGAATGAACATGGATAGAATCGTTGTTCCCACCATCGTACTATTTTTGTTTCTCTACCTCCAACAGCGACAACTTGAAGAACTGTTCATGAGTCTGGTCCGAGGAAGACTCGTGAATTTGATCATTAGACGACAACTTTGCAAGTATGCAATCTTGCAAGTCACTGCAACACTGACTCGGGAGAAAAGATAAGTCAGTAGTGAGGTATAACTTTGTCGACAAAATTATAAAATTTTGCGTTATCTCCGTTCAACATAATTACGGACACTTCTACTCCTCGCATCATTTCCTGTCTTTGGCACGAACCTTTCAAAATAACACTCTCACACCGGGCATGAACCAAACCATGGCTCGGTTTGGTCCAAACCAAGACCACCTCTTTGGGTCAGACCAAGATCCGTCCGTTTGTTCCGAACCAAGGGCCTGGAGAGGTCTGGACCAAACGACGTTGGTGTGAAAGTCCTCTGAGATTTCCCCAAGAAGTCGTGATTCTAAAGCAGAATAAAAATGCAAAATGAGACACAAAACAAGAACAAATCTGAAGAACGTTTTGGTTTTTTTACACTTTAACGCCATCAAAGCTTTATGATTTGTGAGTTTGACCCATTGAGAAAGAAGAGCTTCTATCATCAGCACCTGTATATGAGCACTGTCAGGATTAGAGTGCAGCTCTGTGCAGCAGAGAGTGAAGCTGCAAAACAAGAGCAAACTGCAGGACGATACGATTTATGAGTTTGACTTCTAGATAGAACTGATTATGAGAGTCACCATAGCGTCAGATCTAGGAATAATCGGCGTTTCGGACCCGTTTGGTTTCAAAGTCGTACTTTATACCGTCCCGAACCCTCGAACCAAAACTTGAACCTACTTCCCTGTTGCCTTCGCCCATTTCATAACAGCTGGAGTGTTTCTGAATTCTTCCACTTACACTCAGGTGTAGCTCCAGCTTTCAGTCAACCCCTGGCGAACATAAGTGTGTGTGTGTGTGTGTGTGTGTGTGTGTGTGTGTGTGTGTGTGTGTGTGTTGGAGACGGAGAGAGATTCCCCTCCGTTAAAAAATCCGATTGTTCTCCGTCTCTGGCGGCGTTCAGGAGGAAACTCTGCCGCTGCGCCAGTTTATCTCCACAGAGATCGCTCTGTTTATCACTAAAGACACACCCAGACTGAAGATTTGTCGGGTTTGTTATCGTGTGTGTGTGTTTGTGTGTTTATAGCTAATGCATCGAACACTCAGCTGATCAATAGTTAAGGTTGTATTTGTCCGTGTGTGTGAGTGAGAAGAGAGAAAGTGTGTGTGAATGAGTGTTAATCTAACCAGTATAGTTAATATGTTGTTCTCATACTCTATTAGCCACTCCTGACAGCTGATGATTGATCTTCTCATCATTTCTCCCTCCTACACCCTGCGGTGAGTGTGTGTGTGTGTGTGTGTGTGTGTGTGTGTGTTAAAGAGAGGGAAAAAAAGAGTGTGTGTTTGAAGTAGAGAGATCTTGCGCAGGTTTGCAGTGATGGCTCCTGTGTTTGTTTTAATATCTGCAGCAGGTCTGAGCGCTGATTTTATTCTGCAGTGAGTCACTTTCTTTCATGAAGAAGTCAGGTGTGTGTTTGTGTGTCGCAGTTTCACGCAAAGTAAAGACGAAAACGCAAAAGGATGTTAAATAGACTGTGAAAATCTAAATTCATCTTTTAGTAAAATTCGCAGGAGCAGCAGGGCGTCGAAAAGTAAAACTTTGATAAACTTCCTCCATGTTTTGACCTTCTTAATGACAGATTATATCCACTCTGTTTTTTTTTAAATCATCAGCTTTTATTTTGAAAATTTCAACACCTCCTTTTTCCTGTCTGACCAAAGTGAGATGATAAAAAGTACAGGAAAAATCTAAAAATACGGCTCTTAAGGTTAAAAACAGAAAAAAAGTGTTTTATTTCAGCTCACCAACTCACTTTTCATAACTTCAAAATAAAAGCATGGTTCCACTTAAGAGGAAATAAAGTTACCCTAGTGCAGATTCCAAAATAAAAGAATGGTTCAACTTTAAAAAAAATAAAGAAACCTAATGTAAATTTCAAAATAAAAGCATGGCTCAACTTTAAAAAAATAAAGAAACCTAATGCAAATTTCAAAATAAAAGCATGGTTCCACTTTAGAGGAAATAAAGTTACCCTAGTGCAGATTCCAAAATAAAAGAATGGTTCAACTTTTAAAAAAATAAAGAAACCTAATGTAAATTTCAAAATAAAAGCATGATTTGACTTTAAAGAAAGTAAAGTAACCTGGTGTAAATTTCAAAATAAAAGCATGGTTCGACTTAAAAGGAAATGAATCTACCCGGTGCAAGTATCAAAATAAAAGTATGGTTTGACTTTAAAGGAAATAAAGTAACCTGATAAAAAATATCAAAATAAAAGCATGTTTTTACTTCAAAAGGAAATAAAGTGACCTGATGCAACTATCAAAATAAAAACATGCTTTGCCTGTAAAGGAAATGAAGTGGCTTAATGCAAATATCAAAATAAAAGGATGGTTTGACTTTAAGGGAAAAAAACTAACACAAATATCAAAATAAAAGCTTGGTTCAGCTTTAAAGGAAATCAAGTAAACTGATAAAAAAAAATATCAAAATAAAAGCATGTTTTTACTCCAAAAGAAAATAAAGTAACCTGATGCAAATATCAAAATAAAAACAGGTTTTGAATTTTAGGAAATAAAGTAACCTGATAAAAAATATGAAAATAAAGGCATGTTTCGACCTTAAAGGAAGTAAAGTAAACTGATGCAAACTTCAAAATAAAAGCATTGTCCAACTGTAAAGGAAATAAACTAACCTGAATGTAAATATCAGAATAAAAGCCTGTCAGCTGAAGACACTGAGTTGAGTAAAACAAACCGCAGTCTTAATCTGCTGCTCCTCCTCTTTAAAGCCTCACCTGCTGCTGCTTTAACCTTCCTCCCGCCATGTTTTATGGCGCTTACCTTCGCCGAGGCCTTGCAGGGTCTCGGGGGGAAGCCTTGGCAGCCTCGCTCAGCCACTAACTCACTCCAACGCTTCAACCGCACAATAAGGACTCAATTATTCCCCACCTTTGTTGGCGCTCCGAGAAAACCCCCTGCGCCTCCGGAGTCGTTGCCACGTTGAACCCCGGCGAAGTTTCGCCGCCATAAAAGCGCCGCTCCTCATCGCCTCCTTTTAAATCCGACAGCTTAAAAAAAAAACTCCTTCAAAGCAGATCAATCACCGCGGCTTGACTGGGAAATTAGAGCGGAAACGCCTCGCGCGTCCGCTCTTTCAAGTCTGCGACGATGCAAAGTTTTTGGGCTAACGAAGCCGTTATCTATATGAGAAAAGTTAAGCTATACGTCGAAACGCATATCTGAGGCGATCGCAATTTCAAAGAGGCACTGGCGCTTATCCAATCACACAGCAGCCGGTCTCCCCCCCTTCCTTCCTTCCTCCCTCCCGCTCCCTCTCCTTGGTTTTTTAATTTTATCTTTACCTCTCACACGTTCCCTCGATCCCGCTCCCCTCCTCGTCTTCTCCGTCTTCTGTTTCGGCGCCGTTTTCTCTGAATTACATCCATGTTTAGCTATCACTCCCCTTCAAATCTCTCCCTCTCTCTCTTTATCTCCCCTAAAGAGTGTTGATCCCTTCCTCGCTCTAGCACACACACACACACACACACTTACACACACACATGCATTTTAATTAATACATAGATTCAAATTGCGATGCCTGTGTGGTGAAGTGATATACACCCCCGCTGGTTAAAAGTCTTTTTTATTGCTTAATCAATGTTGAAATTAATATGATTTAACTCCCGACCCCTCGTTACACACACACACACACATATAAACACACACACGTCTGCTGGGTTATTAATTATAACACTAATTAACCTACAACTAATGATTTGGCCTCGGTGTGAGTGTGAGTGTGTGAAAGAGACAGAGAAATTATGTGAGCGCCCGCCTCTAAGTGTGTGTGTGTGTGTGTGTGTGTAAATATATGTTAATTTGATTCCCAGATATGATGGATTATAGGAGCTTACGATAACGACAGTGAAACTTCTCTTCAAAGCTGCGGGTTCGTTTCCATAATTCCGTTTGGCACTCGGATCAATAAAGTTTCCCAGAGTCGAATTTAAAAACCCGAGCGCTCGTCCAAATGCTTCCACTCTTCCCGTGCCATTTCCACCCACCCCACCCTCGTCGTCCCCATTGAGCGTTATTTTTTTATTTATATTTCGAAGGGGAATGAAAACCGCAGCGCCACCTGGGAACCCTGAGCACCCCACCTCTCCGAAAACTACAACCGGCTTTGGTTTTGATTCCGTCCGATTGAAGGTATTTCTCACTCTGATTTTCCCGTTTCATGTTCACTTCTTAACCGCCCCTTGATTGACTCTTTTCCCAGCGCACTGTTTTCTACCGCGGCGCAGCGGTCGGGTGCTCGCTCAAGTGCGTTTCAATCGTAGTTTCTTCAAACGGCTTTTCATCAAATACTCGGTTTTTTGACATTTTTTGGAGGGTGGGAAGAGTTCTCCTGCTGTGATTTGAACCAGCAACACTTGAATGATAAGTTCAGAGAGGGTTTATTTTTACCTGAATCACAGATACGGTGTTTGTGTGAACTGACGTGTGTTGTGGAGTTATTGTTCTGATTGAGGATGTGTGAAAAACTATTATTACTTTGACAGGAAAGGTGGAGGGTTAATCAGAATTAAGGTGGTACTTTTATGGTTTTCTGTGGTTAAACTCTCAATTTAAGAAAGTGAACGGATTCTGCTCTGTGTTGCCAAACTAGTGAATTTGTAGATAGATTTAGTGACTTTTTAGACCCCCCTTAGCGACTTTTTCTGGAGTTTGTAGACTCTGACATGGAAGCAGATATTGATGTTGCTCTTCTTAGCGGGTGGCGGTTAAGCATCATACAGACACCCCAAGGAAGACTCCTACTAAAATTATCTAATTTTGAGGATGGCGTCATCTGGCGACTTTCCTTACTGGGGAGTTGGCAACAATGATTGTGTTGATAGTTTCTAGCTAACTGACGATAAAGTATACCAACCAACCGAGCCAAATCTGACCCAATAGGCCAACCAACCAAAACAAGTCCTTCCCAACAGAAGCAAACCCAACCAGACCAACCTCTCCAATAGAATAGAAAAGAAGGTTATGGACCTGCAACCTAACCAAGTATTAGTCCAACCCTGAGCCTATCCTGAACCAGTACAAGCAGTACAAGTCCAACTCAGTGAAAACCAGCTGGGATAAATTAACCTAAACCAAATACAACCAAACCAGTCCCAACCCAACTAACCAAACCCATCAAAACCTTGACCAAGATCTCAGTCAAATCCTTCTTAATCAAACCAAACCAAAACAACAACCACCAAAATGAATCAAGTCTTAACAAATCAAACCAAAAGTGACCAAAAACTGGTCTTACAGAACCTAACCAAACCTAAAAACCAACATTACCAAGTCAAACTGAACCAAAACCACCCCTGTTCAACCCAACTTGACCAAATCCTCACACAACTAAACCAACTAAACCAACCCCAACCAACTAACCAAGCCAATCAAAACCTTGAGCAAGCCTAATCCAATGAAAAGATCCTAATCAAAACCTTCTTAACCCAACCAAACTGAAACAATAACCACCAAAATGGTCTTAAAGAACCTAACCAAACCCAAAAAACCCAATCAACCCCAACAAAACCAAACCAAATACAGAGAAACTAACCCAACTAGACCAACCTTTTCAAGCCCAATTAACCCAACCAAAACCAATCTTACCAAACCTAATGTCCCCAACCCAACACAAACCAAACCCAACACAAACCAAACCAAACCCACTTTGCCCAACCTAAGAAATTCTGACCAATCTCAACCTTGCCAAACCTAATCCAACTAAAACCACACCAAAGATTTTAAAGTATAAGGAATATAAATCAGCTCTTTTTAATTACCAAAGTTCTGGTAATAGTCGAGCTTAAAGGTTCGCCAAAGAAGTGATTTATTTCCAGACTCCATTTTAATCTTTTTATGTTTGAATGCTGCTCCATCTGAGTTTAGTTATCACGGACTCTCCGCTCAGTCTATGACCTCTAAAATGTTTGAGTAAAGAGAAACTATATTTACAAAAAAATCATTCATCTTCTTGAAATAAAGCCTTCTTCGTCGTTTCACCCTTCTTCGCTTCCTTCACGTGTCGCCTCCTCGCTTCCTCGAGTCTTCCCTTTTCTCATCTCCTCTCCTGCCTCCTCTGTCCTTTGCCTAAAGACAAGGACTATTGATTTTACACACCTTGTTGAAATTGCGTCAAATACACACGCGCTCACTCCCTCTATCTTTATTTATCTCTCCATGCGACACACACACACACACACACACACACACACACACACACACGTGCACACACACACGCACACACAGCGGTGCGGTGTGACAGCCAGCCTGACAATAGGTGGCTGTCAGAGTGATTGATGGCACTGATTATGTGTTAATAATGAAATAAACATTAAAAAACACATTTAATAAAGCTCCCCATTAATGAGCAAACCACACTATCTATCTATCTATCTATCTATCTATCTATCTATCTATCTATCTATCTATCTATCTATCTATCTATCTATCTATCTATCTTAGCTTTAAATATATCTTAAATGTGAGGTATTGAGCTGCGTTTAAATGAAAATAAACCATCAGATCTGTGATTTTCAGCTTTAAAATCAATCAAACGTTAATCTGTCGTTCAGTTTACAGTCATTTAAATCAAGTATTTGTTATCAATAAAGCTAAAGTCCTGCCGTTCCTCAAACCTCTCGCGTTCAGAGGACTCAGCGGGGGGGCCAGTTGACTTTCACATCAGCAGTTTCAAAAAAAAAAAGAAAAGTTGAAAAGTTTTCATAGAGGGGAGAGAAAAAGAAAGAAAGTATTTTGGTAAAAACAGAAAGCAGGACACAACGGCAACCGACGGCAACCATCATCAATCAGAGTTTGAAGACATCGCTGCTGGCAAAGACGACAGGAACAGAGAGAGAGGGTGGCATCGGGATGAAGGGATGTAAACGCTGAAAGAGAACGAGTTAAATATAAAAAACAGGGAGAGAGAGAGAGAGAGAGAGAGAGATGCTTTAGCCTTTTTTAGTGAGGGTGGCAGAAAAAAAAAGAGGAGGCAGGGAGATAATGGGCGAGAGACAGTAGAAGAGAATAAGAGACACTGAGAAAGAGAGAGAGAGGGAGGGAGTCGTGTTTTTGGCCTCTTTTGCTGTTTAAAAAGAGGAACCAGGACAACGACATGTCACCTTGAGACCTGCTCTCACGCTCTTGTGTTTTTTTCTGTGCCTCTCACCCTCCCTTTTTTTCTCTCTCTCTTACTGCACAGGAAAACCAGGATCCAGCAAAAAACCTGCAAGATTTGTGGCTAACTAAGAAATCCTCTTCAAGCTTTTCCATCCGTCCTCTTCCACTAAATTCAAGCCGGGCCACAACAACACACGATCCCCCAGATGTCCCTTTTCTCAGCAACACTTTCCATATCCTCATGGGGGATTCCAAGGCCAGACGGGATTCATATGATCCCTCGAGAGCAATCTGGGACTAACCAGGGTCTCTTCCCGGTTGGACGTGCCTGAAAGACCCCTAAAGGGAGGCATCTAGGACACATCCTTCTAGACCCTCTTTGGAGGAAACATGTCTGCCAAACTCGTGATCTCCTGAGATACTTAAACTCCGTCTCTTTGGGTAAGGACTCACCCCCCAACCAGAGGAGACAAGCCAGCTGAAAACCATGGCCTTGGACTGTTTCTGGTGCCGACCCTTCTCCCAGCCACCCTGCACTTGGTTGCAACCAGCCAACAAAACCACATCATCCTCAAAAACCAGAGACGATAATCTGAGGCAAATCTGGACTTTGAGATCCTGCCCACGGAGAGACAAGGCAACCGTCACAGAGGCCGGCACACACTGGGCCAGGCTGTCTTTGGTCAAGGACTAGATGGCTCATAACCCCCACAAGACCCCTCAGGGACAGAATCCTAGCCTTCTCTGAGTCCACAAAACACATACACCCTGGATGGGCAAGGGTAAAGCTTGGTCCACTATCCTGGAACCAGGACATGATCCACAAGTTTTGACACTCAGTTGGGGTCTTCCTCTAAGCACCTTGGACTAAACTTTTTCTGGGAGGATGGGAGTGATACCCTGATAGTCACAGGACGCCCTCCAGACCCTCTTCTTAAAATAGGGACTGCCACCCTGGTCTGCAATTCCACAGGCAGTGTCCCAGACCTCTGTGGGACATTGAGGATAGGGGGTCAAAACACAAAAAAAAACATTTCAAACAGCTGATCTCTGCGGATCTGTAAAGTTCAGAGAAGTTGTGTTTCCCTCAAAACTAAGTCTAGATCCAGAATCTTCTCTTCCACATTCATATGAATAATTAAACCCGATATCTGACACTTCATCCAAATGCCACTGTTCACTAAATTCTCTCTTTGCCTCTCCATCCCTCTATCTCCCTCTTTCTTGTCTCCTTGTCTCCATCCCTCACTCATCTCTCTCTCTCTCGCTTCCTCCCTCTCCCCCGTCCTCCTCTAAAGTCTGTTCTTTCTGGATGAGCAGGTTTTATGAGTGGAGTGATAAAGAGAAGGGGGGATGAAGGGCAGAGAGGGAAGGAGAGGTGGAGGACAGAGGGGGACGCAGGGAGGGAAAAAAGGAGGGAGACGAGGACAGAAGGAAAGGGGAGCAGGAGGGAGCTCGGCCTTTATTACGGCGGAGTGGATATCACCCAGAACATTTTTCATTGGCATAAAACGTCTGTTCTTTTCGGTCCCAAGGTTCGGCAGTGATGAAAGCTCCTTCAGGTTGATTTGAATACACAATAAAACAAAAACTAAAGAGTTCTGGTTCCCAATCCAAGAAGATTTAGAGTCTTACTGGTACTGGCTGATTATGTATCAGGGTTCGGTTTAGGTGCCAATGGTGGAATCAGCAAAGACTTTCTTTTTCAGTGCTTAAATGGTGTCTTTGGACAAACAAAAGTAATACACAAGAAGAAACATTTTTGGGTTATTTTATAAAGTTGAAGTGAGCTAGCATGAAACCTCCATTTAGCTTAAAACTGAGACCTTCCGGAAACTGATGAAGGGGCGCCCAACCAAGAAATTATAGGTTTTCTTAGCAGATGCACATGAAGGGGTGATTTCTTGTGATTTAAACAGTCACCTCTCTCCGAAATGGAGGTCTTGGAAAGAAGTTGTTGCTCACAAACTTCTCGCTGTACTAGAATACTTGAATCCCAGTATACAGTATATCATCACCATGTGATCGTCAGTGGGCTCTAACCCGCAGTTTCCACCGCATCTGGAATGGCCGTATCCGTTTATCGTAGCTGATCGTAACCATTCAAGTTGACGTGTCAATTTCAACTGGCTTCTTTCCATTCCGCTGTTGATCGCAGGACTCCACCGCTGATCACAAGAGTTCTATTATTTTCCGGACGCCGGAGCATGCCGGATAAATTCAGCACAGATTTACCCGTGCTGGAAAGGAAGTCGGGCACAGACACAAAATAAAACATCCGGCTCCTTTTCAAAATAAAACACTCTGTGTGTCAGGTGACACCATGGATGAGGAGATGCTGATTCTAGAAGTCTAGAAGTAGATTTCCTTCTCTGGAAGGACACAATCTACTGCTTATATGGTTAACCTACGTGGCTAAAGACAACTTGTTATCACGCAATTGCACATGAATCCGCGGGTTCTTGTGTGTTCTCGCGATTCCTGCTGTCCGTAATCCGCCACAAAATTCCCCTCATAAACGAATCTGGTAGGAATTAGCAGATGGCGAAATTCGCCAAAATTCGAATTTTGATAAAACTTTCATAGACACTCAAACTTCTAACAACTTAACAAAGTACGAGATGCCACTACCAATCAACAGGCCAGTAAAATACTTGATTCTGATTGGTCAAAACCCTGCGTTGAGAGGAGTCAGATGAGGTGGCCTCGTTGGTGAGATGTTGAGGGACGTCCCACTGGTAGGAGACCACAGGGAGGACCCAAACCTCCGTGAAGAGCTGGACATCGAACATCTGGAACATCTGAACCCAACTCAAGATCAGCGGTTGGAGTGGATGGATGGATGGGAAGGAAGAGCAACACTAACAGATCACATGTGTTATACCAAATAGACACACACACAACTTCTGGATGGTTGGGATGTAAACAACAAATATGGCAGCATCCAAGGTGGTCACTCGTGTTAACCCTGAGATAAATGGGGAGGTGATGCAGATGGTTTTAGGCGATTAAGTCAAGCTTGGTATGACAGTTGCGAATGTGTATCACTCATTTGTTTTCGATAACAGAGACGTAGCAACAGGATTCCAACGATGTCATGTTCTCTTACTCAACCAATCACAATCAAGCTCAAGGCGTCTGATTATTCACCTGTTTATCACCTCCTAATGAACCTTTTTGGACTTTTCTAAGTTTAGAGGAAACAAGATCCAAACCCGGGCGTGTCCACGGTCGAGTAACCTCACTCAAACTGAAAGTTGAATCTCTCGATACCGCTGTCACTCCGTCCGGTCCGAGACGCTCGCCCCACACTTTGACACTTTGTAATTGTGTTGTTGGATTAGATTATTAAAGAACACAACTCGAAACCGCCGCCGCCACCGCCGTCGTCAACATCATGGCTGGGGGTGCTGAGGATGATGGGAAAACACACACACACACACATATACTCAGACACTCACACGTGTCATCTCGGTATTACTGTATATCATCACAAACACAAAACTTGCTTACATGCACGCAATGTCATCTGCTACACACACACACACACACACACACTGTAATGAAAGCTGGGGGCTACCGTGTGTGTGAGATGGATGGTTTGACTTTAAGCTTGTATAAATAAAAGCTAAATAAATCCTGATGGCCTCTAGTGATGGCTCAGATACCGCAGCAGTGTGTGTGTGTGTGTTTGTGTGTGTTTGTGTGTGTGTGTGTGTGTGATGTTTGTACACAGAAACACTTTGGCGGGGAGCTGAGGTGTTTGTGTGTGTCGACACCAGAGTTAGAGAAGACACACTCTCACACAGCCCTCGGCTCTTTCCTCATTCATGTTTGTGAAATAAAAAATAGTTTTATTATGAAAAGACGGCGGACCAATGTCACCAACACTACAGTGGAGATCCTGGCCCTCTTTTATCGCCCTCTTTCGCTCTTTTGTTCTCTCCTCTTATTCCCGTTTTTCCTTCACTTCTTTTTCTCCTTAATTGATTTTTCCTATTTTTCTTCGTATCGGTTCGACGTTTACCGACGTTTCTTTCAAAGACTCCAAAACTTTCCAACCTTTTCTTGGAAAAACCTCAGCAGAAACCAGGACAGTTTCAGAGAGGATCTACCTTGAGTCCTTTCTTTTGTTTATTTTCTAAGTACTGGTGTGTACCTGACTAGAAGACTCAAGCTCTCGGGGTCCCTCTGCTGAACCCGGAACATGGCTGTAATGGCTGCGACATAATCCCTCTGGGCTGATCTGCTCAATCAAAGTGTGTTCCTGTAAAGTGCTTGTTTTTGCCACAGACCGAATATTCGGAGTTGAAAGTAAAGACCTCTCTTGGTCGGGTTAGATTTGTTTGTGTTACAGTCCCAGGAGATGGGTTCTTCAGTGTGAGTCTGGTTCTGCTCGAGGTTTCTGCCTCCCAGATTGAGCGCTGCAAGTCTTACACGGGATTTCCACCACATCCGGAACGGCAGCAATTTTCGCCGTCTGCCAAGTCCTACCGCATCCGTTTGTGAGGCAAATTTCATGGCAGATTATGGACAGCAGGAATCGCAAGAACTTACAAGAACCTGCAGATTCCATGCAATCGCGCGATAACAAGTTGTCTTTAGCCACATAGGCTAACCATATTAGCAGTAGATTGTGTCCTTCCAGAGGAGGAAATCTACTTCTAGATTTCTAGAATCAGCATCTTCTCATCCATGGTATCATCAGGGTGAAATGACGTCTATAAACCTTCCACTTGTTTGTCTCCGCCCATTTGCATGGTGTGAAATACGATCCTCCCAAAACACAGAGTGTTTTATTTTGAAAAGAAGCCGGATGTTTTATTTTGTGTCTGTGCCCGACTTCCTTTCCAGCACGGGTTAATCTGTGCTGAATTTATCCAGTATGCTCTGGCATCCGGAAAAAATAAAACTCTTGCGATCAGCTGCAGAGTTCGGTGATCTGCAGCGGAACAGAAAGAAGCCGATGGAAGCTTGAATGGTTACGATCAGCTTCGATCAGCAGGTATGGCCTTTTCGTAGCCGTTCCGGATGCGGTGGAAATTGGGGGTTACACTTGGATTCCGCCGAATGCAGATCCGCTATGCTACGCCCCACTCCGGAATGGCAGGCAGATCAAAAATGGTGGCTTCCGCAAGTGGAGGAGAAGCACTTGCGATATTTCCAAAATTTCTTGTGAGACTGGACGAGATCTAACAAGATCTCACGTGTTTCACCGTGAGACGTTGAATGAGATCGACGGTGTATATAAACACCCACACCCCACAACCCTGGCCCCTCCTATTGTCAAATAAAGAACAGTTCAATGTATTGACATTTTACTCTGTAGCCTCATACAACTTCCGCTGCCGAGTTGATGCGCTGCGCTGCGGTATCCGGCAAAAAAAGAAGCCTTGCATATCTGATCCAACTGCCTGGAGCGGTTCCGTTCAGTGGAGCTGGACAGCGGACAGATTGTGTGGAATCACACACGTTGCTTATAATGCTTGTGTATTTGATCAGGCTGCCATTCCGGAGCAGCGTGCAGCTGTTCCTTATCATGTGGAATTCAGCCGTTAAAGGGATATTCCGGCGTAAAATTAATTTAGGGTTGAATACACAGTAACACTGAGTTAGACACCCCCATAGTGATAAAGACACGTTAGTTCTTCTGCCTTAGCGTGTCGGTCTGACTGTATTTCCATGAAGAAATGATCATAAATGTTCTTCCTTGAGCTGCGAAACCCCGCTGTAGTCCGTAATGGACTGGCCTGAGGTCTCGCTACAAAGTTGATGAAGTTAGGTGCTGTTCTGAGTATTATTTGTGGCTACAGAGTGGCGTTTTGGTTGGGGTTTGCACATGGCGATGTAGACCGCTGTATATTGCTAGCGTGCGGTCGTTACTAAAGTTGGTATAACTAGAGAAGCAAGCGGTCGGCAATATTCATCTCTGGAGGGGGTGTCTAACTCAGTGTTACGGTGTGTTTGACCCTAAATTAATTTGACGCCGGAATATCCCTTAAAGTTTTACAGCTGATCTTGAAGTTTGGCCGAACCTAGTTGAGTATTTCGCGATATCGCACTGGGGGAACAAGAGACGTTCCCTGCTCCAAACAGGTCGGATGAATTTCTGGCGTGTCAGAAATTCAGGCTTGCTGATGGGATCTTGCCGTTACTTTCGTACACCTCCATCTCTCCAAGACGGAAACAGTTTGTTTTGTGGATTTCAGGGTGTCAATCAAAATCAAGCACCTCCCACTGTTCTTGAGGTCTGTAGGTGATATTCCCGAACTTCACCGACATCTGTAGGTAACTTCCCCTGACATACATCATTGTCAAAGAGCGCCGTACATCCATTACCTCCCCTCCCTGCTGTCGGTCGTGTGGTTTTCAAACACTAAGAGGGAGGAAACGACAAGAAATCACTGCTGACGGTGACACGTCTGGCGAAACGTCAAACAAACGCAGCGTCTGTAGATCCGGCGGTGGAGATGTATGGATCTAAACGCCTCTGTTTGTTTCTCTTAAGTCTTCATGTCTCTCCTCTCGACTCCTCGGAGAGAAAACTGAGCTAACATGACGAGTTATTTAATGGGTTGAAAAAGGGCGAAATGGCCTTCAGTGTCGAACGGCGGACTCTCCCTGCGTCCGTCCGTCTCTCCGGGGACGAAGAGCATTTTACAGACAAGTTTTTCCACTCTTGTCCTCTCGCTCTCTTGTCACCTCCCGTTCCCTCTGTTTTCATCTCCTCACGTATCCTCCTCCTCCTCTTCCTCTCCTCTTCTGAGTTCGCTCCTCATCCTAAAGTCCAAGTTCATCTGGGTCATTATAACCCCGCAGAGAGATATTCACCTCCACTAAGACCTCATCTCTCTCTGTCTGCCTCTGAGTCCAGATTCGGTCTCATCATTATTAGTCCGGAGAGACAAATTATTGCCCTCCTGTCTCCGACTCTCTCTCTCTTTATCTCTCTGTTTTTACACCTCCGTCGTACGTACTCACATTTTTCACTTCTCTCTGGTCTCCTTCCTTTTATCCTTGACCCCGATCGACTTCTCCACCTGCGAAGGAAAGTGTCGGAGTCGAGTTTTGTTTCTTGTTTCTGCTTCGTTAAAATCACTTAAAATACATTTTATTTATCAGCCGTGAAAATGAACTCCTCTCTTTCTTTAATCTCCTCGTTTAATCGTCTCTCTCTCTCTTTTTTCTCTCTCTCTCTCTCTCTGAGTCTCTTTCTCTTTTTTTCTCGTTCATTCAGTCAGGGTTCCTCTGAGTAATGAGATTACACCGGATTATAAAACCCTGTCTGTCTGTAATCCACACCAGTCAATCCCATTTCACTGCTTAAACACACACACACACACACACACACACACACACACACACACACACACACAGTAATTAATTCTCTTCAGTAAAACACGATCATCTCTTTCTTTCTTTCTTTCTTTCTTTCTTTCTTTCTTTTTTCTTCTTTTGTGGTTTAAATGATCTCTGCGTACCATTTAGCTTTCTTTCCCCCTTCAATCCTTTTTCTATTCATCCTTCCTTCTTTCCCTTCTTCCTTCCTTATCCAAACTTTGTCTCTCTCTCTTTCTTTCTTTCTTTCTTGTCTTCTTTCCTTTCGTCTTTATTTCTCTTCTTTCTACCATTCCTTTCATTTTCTCCTTCTTTTCTAACTTCCTCACTTCGTTTCCTTTTTTCTTCCTAGCTTGCCCACCTTCCTGTCCTTCCTTTCCTTCTTCATTTTCTCCTATCAGTTTTCTTAACGTCTTTTTAACTTCTTTCTTTCTTTCTTTCTTTCTTTCTTTCTTGTTTCCCTTCCTCATCCGTCTTTCTTCTCTTTCATTTTCTTTTCTTCTGGTCTTCCCTCCTCTCTTATCCTTATTTCTATACTTTTTAATTTATTTCATAGTTTCTCCTCTTTTTCTAACTTCCTTGCTTCCTTTCCTTTCTTTCTTCCTAGTTTGCCCACCTTTCTGTCCATCCTCTCTTCCTTTCATCCTCTCCTATAATTTTGCGTATTTTTTCTTTCTTTCTTCCTTCTCCCTTTCTCATCCATCTTTCTTTTTTCCTTTTCTTTTCTTTTCTTACCTTTCCTTCTTCCTTCCTTTTGTCATCTTTATTTCTCCTCTTATTTCATTTCCTACCATTTTCTACTCCTTTTCTTACTTCCTCGCTTCCTTTCCTTTCTCTCTTCCTAGCTTGCCCACCTCTGTCCATCCTTTCTTCCTTCATTCTCTCCTTTTATTTCTTTCTTATTGTCTTTTTAACTTAAAACTTTAACTTTTTTCTTTGTTTGTTTTTCTTTCTCGTTGTACTTTCTGTCACCCGTCTCTCCTCTTTTCTTTTCCTCTCTTTCATTTTCTCTCTCTGTTCTTTGTGTCCTCTCATTTAACAGTTTCATTTTTCTAAATCTCCTTTTTCCTTTTTGTCTTTCCTCTCTTTCTGATTACCTATTTACTTTTTACTTTTTTAAAATATTTTCCTTCTTCTCTCATCCCTCTTTCAAATGTTTCTTTTTTCTTTATTTCTTTTCTTTTCTTCTTCCTCCTTTTTTGTTTATTTCCCTCCATACTTTGATGATGAAGATGAAGATGAAGAGCAGGGTCACTCTGACGAACATGCGTCCGTCTCGCCACCAGAGCTCGCATTTGAGCCACTTCTGGACACACACTCACACTCTCTCTCTCTCTCTCTCTCTCTCACACACATACACTCGCGCGCGCACTCTCACGTGCACGCGCAGGGCCTATTTCGGGTCGAGAGGACAGAAAAAAAAAAGTGAAGAAGAAGAAAAATAAAAACTTCCCGTTTGCGAATCAAGGAGCTCGTGAGAAAGTTTATGAAACAGTAAAAGATCTGAGCGATACACACACACACACACACACACACACACACACACACACACACACACACACACACACACACACACACACACATCAATGAGGTTGTAATAAAGTCCTCCTTCTCTCCCTTCCTCCAATCACATCCTTCCTTTCATGAAGACTCTCCTCTAATTGGCCGCCCCAGCTGCCAATCATATGTAAAGTGGGCGGGACCAGCACGAGGGCTGACCTGGAGTCTGATCCAGTCTCTTTTACGCACAGACCGGACACTCCGCTTCTCCACGCCGCGTGTGGACGGAGAGAGGCGCGCGAGGAAGAGGGAAAAAGTGTGTGGAAAAGACGCACGAGCCTTTAAGTAACTGCACGAGGAGAAGCAGAAGAAAGTGTGTGAGTGTGTAAGTGCGTGTGAGACAGCAGGACAGTGAGTGTGTGTGCGTGTGCGCGCTCTCACCTCTCCAACACTTGTTCCGGCTCTTCCATGTCGCTCCCCGGCTCCCCTCCGCTCCTCTCGCCGGGCTCCGGCGCTCCACCTCCGGCCGCGCTCTACCGCTCGGCTCCGGACGCGCTCCACACCTCCTCCTCCTCCGCGGCGGCTCCCACCGGCACCTCCAGCCCGGCGCACACCAACTCCAACTCCCACTCCCACTCTGCCCACTCCTTATCCCCGTCCCCGCGGCTCACCAGCAGCATGCTCAGCGCCTTCCTCCCCGGGTTGGGGAACGGCGGCGCCGCCCCGCTGGTGACCGGAGGAGCCGGAGCTCTCGGTCCCCTCGGCGGGCTCTCCTCGCTCAGCACGGCCGGTCTCACCCCCGGTTCCCCCGGCTTGGCGCAGACCTCCTCCAGCCCGGGTCTGTGCAGCGAGTGTAAGCTGGTGGAGGTGCACGGCGTGAAGGTGGCGAGCTTCAGCGTGGACGGCCAGGAGCTGATCTGCCTGCCGCAGGTGTTCGACCTCTTCCTGAAGCACCTGGTCGGCGGGCTCCACACCGTCTACACCAAGCTGAAGAGGCTGGACATCTCCCCGGTGGTGTGCACCGTGGAGCAGGTGCGCGTCCTGCGGGGGCTCGGCGCGATCCAGCCCGGCGTGAACCGCTGCAAACTCATCTCCAGGAAGGACTTCGAGACGCTTTACCAGGACTGCACCAGCGCCAGGTAGGTCAACACCTCCACCTCCTCTTCTCCTCCTCAAACCTCAGATCTCCTCCTCAACTTCTCCTCTTTTCTTCTGCTTTTCGAAGTGATTTCAGTTTTCAGGAGGGGTCTTCAACTCCACAGGAACTCTTTCAGATTCCCTCTCTGTCTGTTCGTGTTTTATCTTTAACTTCAGATTCAGCTCCAACCGTCCGGAGAGGTTTCTGAATTCACCGCCTTTCCTTTAGTTTCAGAGACGGTTTTACCTTCAGTGTGCCTCTTTTTGGTCTTTTCTACACCGTTTAAAGTCTTAAAACATCCAAATTCATTGATTTAAATGAGTTTAATCATAAATATGTGCTTAAATGTTGATAAAGAGAGTTATTTTGAGTAGATAAATCAACATAACACCTTTGTTTCCCCTACTTAAAGTCTGTAAACATCCAAATACGTGCCTCAGTCTTGGAAAAGTGATTATTTGTGAGTAGAAAAATCAACGTAACACCTTCGTTTTTCCTTCTTAAGGTCTTTATACGTCCAAATTGATTGTCTTAATCAAGTTAAATCATAAATATGCACCTTAATCTTGGAAAAGTGAGTATTTTTAAGTAGAAAAACCAACTTAACACCTTTGTTTTCTCTATTTTAAGTCTTTAAATGTCCAAATTGATTGAGTTAAATGAGTTAATTCACAAATCTGTGCTTAAGTCTTGGCAAAGTGAGTATTTTTGAGTAGAAAAACCAACTTAACACCTTCGTTTTATCTCTTTGAGGTCTTTAAACGTTCAAAATGATTGACATAAATCAGTTAAATCATAAATATGTGCTTCAATATCGGAAAAGTGAGTATATCTGAGAAGAAAAACCAACTTAACACCTTTGTTTTGCCTCCTTAAGGTCTCTAAATGTCCAAATTGAGTGACTTAAACTAGTTAAATCATAAATATGTGCCTCAATGTTGGAAAGTGAGTATATTTAGGTAGAAAAACCAACTTAGCACCTTCATTTCCTCTTTTTAGGGTCTCTAAAAGTCCAAATTGATTGTCTTTATCTACTTAATTCATATATATGTGCCTCAATCTTGAAAAAGTGAGTCTATATGAGGAGAAAAATCAACGTAACACCTTAGTTTCACCTATTTGAGGTCTCAAAATGTCCAAAATGAGTCACTTAAATCAGTTAAATCATAAATATGTGCTTCAGTCTTGACAAAGTGAGTTTATTTGAGTAGAAAAACCAACGTTACACCTTCGTTTTTCCTTCTGAACGTCCAAATTGATCGTCTTAATCCACTTAATTCATAAATATGTGCCTCAGTCTTGTAAAAGTGAGTTTATCTGAGTAGAAAAATCAACTTCTTTGTGCGCTTCGCGTCTCTTCTCCCCATTAGAAACCTCGTTTTATGTGTGATCCTCTTTAATAATTGATGACAAACTCTCTGACTTGTTTACGTAATGCTTTTATTCTGGAAAATCGACTTCCTCTCCTCTTATCGGGGCGACTCCTCCGTTTTGCTTAGGTGTCAAAAAAGATGCTTTTACTGTATCGACTCGTCAGCCTGATGGAGAGCGTGCGCGTTTGTGTGTGCGCACGTGTGTGTGTGTGTGTGTATATGTGTGTGTGATTAATGAGCGGACACATGTTATTTAACAGTTTTAGCGAAATGGAAACACAAAGGAGAGCAAACAACCTTCTGTTGACTTTAGTTATTGAAACGCTCCTCACACACACACACTCGTAATGCATGAGTGTGTGTGTGTGTGTCGGTGTGAGTGAAAGTGCTCTGATGTGTGTTTGTGTGTAAACAGACACTCCGCAGACGCTCGAGTGTGTGCGTACCTGTCACCTGCGCCTCTTCAAAATGACCCCTCCTCCAGAGCGGCGTCCCGCTCTTTTAACGTTTGACAGTAAATTACCGTAAATTTAAAGGCGGAGCTGCACTGCAGGTCGCACCTTCGCTTTTTGTTTAATTTTTTAAGCATCTTTTCCGAGTTTTTAGCTGAAATCTCAAAATATCCCATATCCTCAAAATTCCAGCTGTGAAAGCGCTCGGGTGCAGCAGCTGTGTGACGACGGTGCGAGCGGGCTTCTCTGTATTTTTGGTAACAGGAGGATTTTATGTCCTTTTTGGGAAACGGGCTGCAGAAAATTGGTATTTTGAAAACTTAGGAGGCTCGTTTTTTTGAGGGAAATGTCTTTTCGACTCGACCAGAATGACGCCACGGAGGATGTTTATCGTTTTGGAAATGTAAAATCATTTTTAAGACGATGTTTCTCGAGGAGTTTAAAAGTCAAGAGAAGAGGACGTTTCCTCTCGCTTTTCTCTCTGTTCCTCCTCAAACACTCTCTCGTCGTCTTGGAAGTTAAACTCAAACCTCAAACCTGCAAAAACTCTTTTATTCCTTCATTTAACACGATAATTAATCTGTTTACTGATGCGTCACTTTCGTAGTTTTCCGATCAGAGGTGAGGCGAGGATATGGTCTGAGGTAGAGGACAGGTGCAGGATGCTTTTCAGAGTCGGTGCGATCCCAGCCGCTGATTCGGCGTTTGGAGCAGCAGTGTTACCTGAGAGAGCGTTAAAGCACCTGTAGACCCCCGAGCGCCTGATTTGGCGTTTTTTTGCGCCGGGTAATTTTATTTCCACGAGTTTTATTAACCTTCAGCGTCCGTTTGGAAACACAGTTTATGATAAAGCTGCTCCTCAAAGCTGCAGGAGGATATCTGTGTTTCGTCAGAGTCAAAGCGAAACATGGACTGTTGCACTTCTGCGCCATAAAATGCACCCACTCTCAGAGTGACATGATACACCAATTTTTAGATTCAACATAAGTTTCACTCTCCATCGCTGTCATTATTGCTCATATCAGTTTTGGGTTTCCTCAGCACCAAAGCAATCAAGTGATACATCTCCGTACCTTTTTTGCACCTAGATTTTTGCACCTGCGCCAAAAAAATGCACCCTTAACTCATTCAAATATTTACATATGACAAAATAAAGTCAGTTATAGAGTTTGTACAGGTTACACGAGTCAGATTCATTTTGAAGAATCAGCTTTAAAGGTGCATTCATACCAATCAAAAACAACGCACCATTCTCTGCTGTGGAAACACAAAAAATGCGCTTTTTCTACTAAATTTTTGCACCCTTGATCGCTTTTTGTAAGTTTTTCCAGCATCAGTGTTATCCAGGGCTTAGTTTCTTCACGCGGCAACAGCATCATATGCGAGACTATTTTTGACTTGTCAAACCTGTTGCAATTTGCACCATAAATTGCACCGTCCTGACCAGATAAGTGTAATGTGGTTTTGTTTGCTCGACACCAAAGCAACGCACTGACAAGTTTACATAAGCTGAGCAGTGGTATCGTCTTAAAAACGATCTAAGAACTCTTAAACTTTTTGCACCTTTCTTTTCGGATATGCGCCGAAAAATGCGCCCTTCTTCCAATCCATAACTCAATCAAATCTTCATGTACAGACAAACACAAAGTCGGTTTTGGATTGTTTACAAGTTGCACTCTCTGAGATTATATTACTACTTTGATTTTAGTTTGAAAAGTGCATCGAAATTATACGAAAAACAGCGCACTTTTTTGAATCTATAAAAAAATGCGCTTTTTCTTCTGAACTTCCTTTCTTAGGTTGCTTCAGCATCAAAGTTGTCCAGTGCATTGTGTCTGTACATGGCAGCATCATTATCAGTGCAACTGTTTTCGAACTTTTCAACTTTTTTGCACCTTGCTGTTGCAAATTGCGCCAAAAATTGCATCCTCATTTTCTCATCATAACTCGGTCAAATATTAAGATACAGACGTGATACACATGTTGTCAGATTCGGCAGAAGTTGCTCTTTCCGAAGGCGCCATTACACCTGATATCTGATGTAAAAGGTTTTTAACATTTATTTTTGAATCGTAGAGGAAAAATGCACCTTTAATCGCACAGAACTTACCTACAAATGTTCACATTTTGAGGTTACTTGAATGTAAAGGTATTGCATTGATTAGTGTTCATATATTGGTGAAAAAAGGGGCTGAAAAGTGCATTTTGTCGGACATTTGCTGTTTGTCGTTTTGCTGTGAAGTTAACGAAAACAGGCTTGAAGTGTAAAATGCACCCAGTCCGCAGTAGCGACAATGTCAGAGTTTTACATACATGCTATTTCTAGTTTGGACGTAATCGCTCTCGTTTCCGAGGAGGTTTAGCTTCTCAAAAGTGCGTCGCCTATTTCTGGAAACTCCTTGAAAAGTCCTGGAATTTCACATCCGGGCTGCAGCAGCGGTGGGAACGCAGTTGTGTGTCATTTCTGCGTGGTTTATTTTGGTTTTATAGAGGGAAGGACAGACGGACGGCGACGACGGCTGGAGGAGGCAGTTGTTCAGTATCAGCTAATTATTAATGGGGGATTGTGTTGCTGGATTGTCGGGGAGTTTGACCTTCTCTTCTGGCGAAAAATCAAACGTCGTGAAAGAGCAGGTTTCCGTCATTTCGAACTCGTCTCTTTTTCTGCGCACGCACGTCTTCAGGAGTGTATTTCTGTCCCCGGCTAATTGTC